TTTACATGCACTAACACCTATAGAACGCTACAGGAGAGGGAGAACCACAAAGAGCATATTAGGGCCCATTTGAGTTTATCTGTGCTTTGGTAATAGAAAGATCAGTTTGAGTGAGGAAAGAAAACGATTTGTGGAGTCTTTTTTGTGAGTTTAGGGGTGGAAATGTTCTGTGTACTCCCCAAATTCCAACACTTAACTCCAATGGAGTTGATTTACCCTTTAAAGAGTCATTCTGTCCCATGTGTGCCGCTGAGAACCCAGCTCTGGTGAGGAAAATATTCATTTTTAAAAATGATACAATACATACACAGATTGATATTAACATAGAGGAAATATAACATGACATTTATATTACAGATTTCCAGCTCTCAATATATTACATACAGCTTTTCATTTTAATGTAGGGACGTACTCTTGATATAAAAATGATCAATCAGTTGCTCTTCCATGTAGTAAAAATGTTTTCTTTTCACTTAACTGATGCCATTTGGCTAAAGATATTATAGCAATACTCTGACAAAATATAAGACTACAATTCACAATGTCTTTATATCACTTAACGCTCATGCTCTGTACAGTGGGAGGTACATATGTTTGATCAAGTCTGAAAGAACACAAGATGTCTCCCCTCTTTGGAATGATCCATATGTGATACTATAACTAATATATTTACAGATGTCAACATAGAATGGGGTATTTTAAACATATTACAATGTACAACCCTTTGAATTATACTGTACATGTGGTCAGTGTTTTACAGTAAACCACCAAAAGACACATCTTTTCCAGTTGTTTAGCAAAATGAATGTCTCTCTAGACAATTGCTTCCGTTTGGTAGTGTTCATGTGGAAATATTATACACAAACTACATCTGTTCACTATGTTCTGTTTCATCAGGAAATACATTCCGTGTGAAATCTGATACGATCAAATCATCAGATAAAACTAGTCATTTGAGTAATTATTCAACCTTTGGACAAAGCTTACACCATTGTGGCTAAGGTTCTACAAAACCTATTTGAAAATGACACTGATGGAAAGGGGGAAATTCAACAGGTTCCTCAGCCAGAACTGAGCAACAACTACAGTAGGAGATGTGTGATGGACTTGATGTAGAGTTGGAGATTGTTTTTTGGATGTGGGACCAAATGTGTTCCCTTGTAATTTGAGGTGAGTGGAATTGCCATCAGACCTGTTGTTTGCCCATAGCCTCAAAGCACCACCTGCCCCCCCCCCGTGATCCATCTCACTGCTCCATTACACACCTATGCTCTGTCCTCCACTGACAATCTAACCTACATCAGAAATAACCTCATGTTAAAACTGTTCTGAACGGAGCAAACAACTGACAGGAAATTAGGTCAGAGAGAAGAGGGGATGACATGTGACACACTCGCTGGCCAGACCCTACACAACCAGAATTACCATGACAATAATAATTCCTCAACCATAAGCAGGCAACTCTTCTTTAATCCTGGTGATGAAGGTTCCTATCATCTTCCCCTAACCCTTACACATCTGACTTTATTGGTGGCTAATAATCAGTGATATTTATCATATTTAAGATGACCACTTCCTGTTCACTCGTCTCGAAGTCAATGGCATTTTGAATTTGGATAGAAGTCTGAAATAAGGTCTGTGGTTAACAAAAGTAGATTAGAGTTTTTTCTACTCTACAACATAAAATACGTAATTAAATACCCCACTGTGGAATATCTGAAGCGTTTACCTGTCTTATAAACAGTGGTTGCTAACAGGTGTCATTAGCCGAATATTAGCCGCCGTTAGCTTAGCGGTGGTGAAGCGCAGCCATGTGACCACTATGTAGTTTTTTAAAGTTCGATTTTTTACTTGTGGTGATTGCATTTAAGCTTCAAAAACATCTAAAGTGGTTTTAATATGTGGAGATGTCGATCTAAAAAACATTAGTTCACCGCTGTATTTTTGGTGCAGTGGGTTAGAGCTTTGATCATCAGATCAAGGGACGGTGGTGAACTCCAGTTCGAAACCCGCCTCGGCCGCCACTGCGTTAGGCCGTTGTGTCCTTGGGCAAGACACTTCCCCTGAATTTGCTCCTGTGGGTAATGTCCACAGTAATGATATTAGATAAAGGTTATCAGTAGTACCCCAGAGTAAAAGGGTTTGATTTAAACAGGTTTTGTTAATGTTTAGAACTATTTTATGTTGCAGCCCAGTCAAGCCTCTCAGTCAGTAATTCAGATTTTCCTAAACTCTGCTCTCATCCATTCATTCTGCAAATCTTGAGTGTTGCTGATGTTTGTCTGTACACTTCCTCCCTCACACTCCTCTGTTTTGTCTCTTCTTTGCACTAATCCTGATTTTCATGTTACACCGAGCAGCCATTCTCAAGTTGTCTTTGTTAGAATCTCAATACACTCTTTATTCTCATTGTGAGAAAACGACAAAGAACATTTTCAAAAATACTGTCACTAATTTGTTTATGTATTATAGAGTCAAACAACTTAAATCATAAAAAAGTGTTAATAAAAAGGAAATGTGAGGGGTTGCAGATGATATAGAGGAGTGTAAAAGTTTCCATCCAGGTGAACAATGGATGAACACACACACACATGCTGCAATAGGATGTGCTAACAGTTTCATCATGACCCTGACAGCTAGGATAAATCTTAAATAAATAGATACACCAAGAGGGAATGTCAGATTCAAAAGAATTGAGATGAGAAAGGATCATTACAAACTGAAAGAGAAAAGGAACACATGATTTAGAAACGCTCCTGAAATGTTCCTCCAGTGTCTCTCACTGAGAACACCAGCAGACTGTTAAAGGAAATGTTCTCACTTCATGTCTCTTTGGAATTCATGGGTTGTGACAGTCATGCAATTATATTCAAAATCATAGCCCTGTTCCAAGTGATGATTTCAGTGTTGGGTAATGAAGCATGTTGTGATACAGCAAACATCACCTCGTGCTGTTTGAATTTGGCTAGGCTGAACAGAAATGTGACTACATGCATGAATGGGGAACTCTATGGGAACTGACATCAAACTGACAGCAGAGCAGCCTCTCTGAAAACACACAATAAAGCACCTGCAGTCCAGAGAGAGGAACTGGAGACACTGTAAGGCCAATCCAAAAGAAAGACGGAGAAAATGTGGAAACAATTTAATTATATTGGAGTTTTGAGACCAGATTAAGCCTATTGTCAAACATGTCCACAGAGCCAGTGTTGGTCATACAACTCTGCTTATCTTTCCTCACAAACTGAACATCCAGCTGTTTCAGTTGTACCTTGTCAATACAATTCTTGAAACAAAAGCACTTTTTTAACTCATTCACCAGCACCTACAAAGGTAGGACTTGCTTGAAGTGAATATATCTGCACTTTCCTTGTTGTTCAGAGTTTGAATCCCTATGGTTATTGCACTTATTGTATAGAGGCTTTGAAGAAGAGAATTATGCTCAACTGCACCTTGTAGTCCTTACTAGTCTCTCACATTGAAGACTCTGTGAGCGTCCATATAGAGAGAAATTAGTTGTATTTGCTTCCTGTGGAGGAACAGGATGTCATGATGTGCCTTTCCTAATCTTTTTTCCTTGAGTGTGGGCAATAGGTGATTGACAAGGTCCTGTCAAGTTTGTGACAGTCACATTATAAGAAGACACACATAGTCCCACTGAGCCACGGAGGATTTAGTTTAAGAGACGTTTCACTTCTCAGATCAGCTGCATTTAAAAAGGGCCTGATGTCCTGACCTAACTTAAACCCTCTTCTGACATGGTACTACCTCATCACATGATTACATATCTAATGCTAAGATATTAAAGGACAGCAGTTTGACTCACCCGATCAAACTGTTGAATAATGGATTGTCTCAGCTGAGTGACTGTGATAGATGAAACTGCCCTCATTTAATACTGTACTAAATATCATGATAAAGTGGTACAGGCCTTTACAGATCTGAATTTAAAAGGGTTTATGGAATCTGATGTCAATAATTAAATAAAAAAGCACAATAGAGCTGACCCTAATAGAACAGCAACACAGACAGCTGCATGATTCTTCACCAGTTCATTATCAGGAAGCACTTCATTCATTTTTCCTCTCACTCTGCCTCAAAACGCCAATATAACTTTTGAACTAATCTCGTTCATCAACCAGAATGAAAATCAACACACCCCCGGGGAGGTGTTTTTGAAACACTTTGTGCTTTGAGCTGATAAACCAGAATGTGTACTGTAGTTAGAGAGCATCGAGCTGCAGCTGTGTTCCCTGTATTTAACTTGTCATGTGTGCAAACATTAGAGGAATACAAATGGCACACGCAATAACCCTGTATCTGAACCGTTATGAATAAAGTCAAAGATAATGTGTTTGATGATGTGTTGCAGAGGGTTAGTTGGTAGTTTAGTTTTTCAAGTAAATAACCTTTTATCTTGTTTTATTATGATCATTTACACTTTAAAAAAGAACTTTAAGCTCAAAACTACAGGCAACTAATGAAAGTCACATCTTTTGAATATTGAGAGGCATTTATATTAAAGCTTTATGTTTAAAATAGCCACTTCTGGTTTGAGAGCAGCCATGTGAGGTTGCATTTTTCGAGCTCCTCGCCAGAATCAGATTTATTTGAATTAAGTAACTACCTCCTGAACTGTATTCAACTAATTCAAATTAAACGTTTTCTTCCTTGCCTACTCCCGATGGTCTCATTGGAATATGTCGTCTTCCTATCGCAAAAAGGGGGCTACCACGACGCAACCGAAAGCTAACCTGCTGATGACAACACCCATACGCAATCTAATGAATTACAGCATGAAATCAAATTACAAATAGCTTATTTACGATTGGCTGCTATCGTTGCTCATGAGCTAAAGACTTCCAACATGGCTGCCACAGTGTATGCTACATAAAATCCTTCCATTTCCCCTCTGCTGCTACGTTCTCCTCTCTCCTCCACTAACTGTTCTCCCCCACCTTGTCTTCAGTCATCCCCGCCCCCCCCCCAGTCATCCCTCCTCTCCTCTGTCACCTTACTTTAGGTTCATGGTGCTTATGGCTTTCCATCGAACATTATTTGGGGCTATCGATTTTGTCCATTGATATGACAGTGACCACCAACATGTCATTGTGAGGGTGGTGGGGGGGTTTCTGACCTTCTTTTGTGTCCCCTCACAACTGTATGATGGTCTATGCATACAGCATGGCTATGTGTCATGGCGTAATATAACAAATATATATCATGTTTTAGTTACAATTATGTGTTGCTGAATGAATTTATCGCACATTTGATAACTAGGGTTAACAAGTTGGTGTAGCATTGTCTGTAATTGTAAATAAAGATATTCCTGAACTCCTGCAGTGTATAATGGAAATGTATCACATGTTAGAAGCGTGGTGATGACGTCCACCTGAAGGTTTACACTCACATGTTGCTCTGATCTTTGTTTCAGAATTAACCACACCCCCTCCTTCCACTCACCTCTGAACAATATTTCCTGACCCCATCCCCCAATCCTCAGACCTCTATTCCCCCCTCATCTTGTACCTATGTTTTTATACTGGCACAGCAGCAGGTTCTTGAAGGTCTTTTTGAACGTGGCGTTGCACAGAGCGTAACATGCCGGGTTGATGGTGGAGTTGACGTAGCACAGCCAGTAGCCGATAACCCACACGGTGTCAGGGACACAGGACTGGCAGAAGGTGGAGATCAGCACCATGACGTTATACGGCGTCCACGTGATGATGAAGGCCAGCAGGATGGCAAAGATAGTCTTGGTCACCTGCAGAGAACGGGAAGGAAAGAGAGTTAACCAAGTATCACCAGAATACAGAATCCTGGCTGAGGAGTGGAACTGGTTTGAGCTATATCCATCAGAGCGAACATTGTGTTTTTTGGCAGTCAGAGAAGATCTGCTTTGTTTGTTAGTTGCATCATGTTTTTGTTAAAAAAAGATGTGTTCACTCTGACAGTTTTAATAACCAGACATATGCAGGTTGATTGTTACACACTATGGTTTAGTATGGCTCTATTTTCAGATACATTTGCTTTAATACCAGGGGTAAAGCACTGTTTCTGTGTTTTTTTTGTACCACAATCACTCATTTTGTACACTAATTTCAGCTCTCTTACATTTAGATAGTAGAAGCTTAGAGGGTCAGTCATTAGATGTAGACAGGGTAAAAAATGATCCCTGTTTCCAAAAGCATCTTGACTTGTTATGAACCTTCTTCAGACAGACTGGTTGCAGCTACTGATTACCTCCAATTCTGACAGACATCACATGCACTGTACTATAATGTCATCACTGAATATCACACAATTCATCAAGCACATTTTATTAAGTAATATTATAGAGAACATTTTTGCCCAGGACTGGAAAATAAGAGTAGAAGCTGATGTTGCTTCTAGACCATCTTCCCTTAATCATATGTCTGTTTAGAGGCGTATCATTCAGGAAAGCCACATCTGTAAAGTCATCTCCTGTTTCCATCTCCGTACTTTCTATAGTGGCCTAGTTTAACCACTCATAAAGAAATGTTTTTCTAAAGCATCGTATGTAAAGAGGTTTTTAAAAATATGTTTTTTACATTCGGAAAGAAACGTCTGTAAATCAGGGTAATTTTTTGGAGCTAAATATGAACACTTTTATAGCTCATTAAAATCATTAGGGTCTAAAAGTTGGAAAATGCAATAAAAAGCTAAATCCACCGTTATTTTCCCTCTACATTAGTCTGACTGAGGAGAGTGGGAGATTGGAGGCGGGGCTTAAGGGCAAATGTATGTAATTACTGTATTTAACGTCACCGTTGGCTCAATGGTTCTATTCTTATAAAGCCTCAGCATCAGTTTCGCTTTGAGTGATAAGAACTGACCAGCTCTGACGTCACTGAATACCACAACTTGAATAACTGCCCCTACTGTAAAACCTTTTAAAGGTCTGACGTGTAGAAACATGTCTTTTTGCCAGAGCCCTTTGTGTTGGGGGACCACATTTGCTCGAGGAGGTAAGAACTGAGGAATACGGTAACAATGTTTCAGCTTGGATGGAAAATGCACATGTGTCCTGGGGCTTTATGAACCGTGCTTATAAAAGAAAGTATAAAGATGGAGGTGGAGAAGGAGGGCAATAACACACACACTCCAACACACACAGGTCCGTTAAAAGCTGTAGCTTATAGCCTGGTACGGCACAAAAGAGTTTACAAGGTGCCTGAGCATCAGTAATGACACAATGTTAAAAATGACTGATTACTGTCTGAAACACCTTAGACCCTCTGTAGAAACTCCATAACTTGTCAAAGGACACAAAACTATGTGTTTCAAACGCTTTAAGTCATCAAGACTTGATGAAACACACAAAAAAACAATTATCAAATGATTCAATAGCAACACAATGGCTGCTTATTGTATATCACCTGACTGATTTGCATCTAACTGTTTCCGTCACCATCATATTGTCACCTTGCTTTTGTCATTAGAGACTGCCATTACCCACAATGCAATGATCACAGTCATGGGGTCAGAAACACTGGTCTTGGATTTAGTTAAAGATACATTCCTATCTATCACTGTTGATGTCTGAAGTGATTTTGGAAGGCTGTATCAAAATCGGAAATATATCATAGTATGCTTTGTCATTTTAAAAGCTCAGAAGACAAATAGCATCTGTCATCGTGAACACTAATGAAGTGAAGTGACAGCAGCAGCAGCAGTTAACAGCTGTTCCTTACTGTTCACACACAGGTAAACCTGGTACTCCCCCCTGCAAACCAGCAGCATACTGTACGCTGCCATGCAAAACGCTTTCAGGTCCTTATGTTTTCATGATGAAATATAATGTTATCTTTAGGAGGTAACATGCATCAAGGTACATTTTGTATCACTCTATAGTGTTTGTAATTACCAACCAGGCACACCATTGTAATGCAAACGGCAGAGATGGCAAAAGTATACACATCCTTTACTCAAGTAGAAGTACAGATACTCGTGTTTAAAAATACTCTGGTAAAAGTAGAAGTACTGACTAAACTTCTTTACTCAAGTAAAAGTATGGGCTTTGAAATGTACTTAAGTAAAAAGT